CATAAACATCTACCCATTTATTTCTTTGCGAGCTGATAATAATGTAATCAAAATTAAAATTAAAAATTTTATTTACCCATATAGCATTTACATTATTATTACAATATAGTATAGCCTAATAAAAATAGTAACACCAACACTTACAGTTGCTAGAGTACCAAGTTTTGATTAAAAACAGACATCTTTATTTTGCGATTAAAACTACTGAGAGAGTCAGAAAATAAGTCAATATGCCCGTTATTTGTGAGTAAATTATTTGTCAGCTTGCACATTCAATTCATAGGCGAGTTAATGCCATAGCTGGTTCTATGAAAATCAATATTAAAAAGAGCCTTATTTCTTGCATTAATAGGAGAAATATGAAAACCAACAGATGCCAAAAGATCTGGTGAATCCATCAAATTAATCAAAAATTAAGGATTTTGTATAATTTAGCGATGTCAAAAAATATGCGCCTACTCTCCAAAGATGTCAAAAGCTTCATAGTTTCATAGTTTATATCCTCAAATGACATTCCCAACTTAAAACCTATCCCTCTAAGGTACTTACGCTGCACACGCTCTATTCTTTCCTTTTGAATTGCATAGTATGGTTGCCAGACACAGCTAGCATACTCTAAAATTGAACGCACAAGCGCACAGTACAGCTCCCTATACGTATGTGTTTTGTAATATTTTTATATTTTTGTACTATAAATAGAATAGTTGAAAATTAAATTATATCTAAAAAGTGTAGTGCCACATATTTGTCGCAGTCTTAGAATATAAAAAAATATAGAAGTTTGGATCTAAAGAAATTAATTTTTCGCACCACAGAAAATGTATTATTAATAATAACTAATTATTTGTTGGGGACAAAATTGTATAACACAACTATTAGGTATAAAAGTTTAAAAATAGTGTCAGTTCACAGCGCCATAGTTTGGAATCTCAAAATATTGAGTTCAGCACACAAAAAAAAATGTGCTCGATGATGCTGTACAGTCGTAATAGATAGATATATATTCTTTCTCTTTCAGAATTATTCACTCACTGCCACTAAGAAATATCATTAAAAAATTTCTCAAAATTATATGCGGGAATGCAAAATTACAGACTATGACAAAAAACTGCCTTTGATTAAAAATTATTTATACATATAGTCTTTTATAAACTTTTTCTAGTAATGTAACTGGTATCAGTTTTTTATTTTACTGTATTTTTGAAATAACAAACTTTAAAAAGATGATTACTTTGACGTTGCGGTCTTAAGCAGTCCTAATTCATTGACTGATAGTACAATGAATCGCAAGGGATTAAAATTGAAAATACAGCAGTTAGGACCACTCAGAGAAATAAAAAACATTAAATGCACAGACAGCGTTAGGGCTTCCGCTGGAAAGAACGATTGGAGCTTTTTCATAAAATCTATTATAAAAAACTCGGTGGTTTGGTGGAAGGTTCATAATGAGACCGTGATTCAGCGTTGCTATCTCATTCGGAAATACATTGAATTGCTTTTATCTTCACTTTTTTTACGTCGTCCACGATTACACGTCACGGTGACGTCGCAGTGTGTCTGGCTCTGCCCCTTGGAACGAACCAATGAGCGACGAACTGGTGCCGATTATAAAGTATACAAATGGAAATACGAGTACGAGAGTGCGATACTGCAGTTAGTAAACCGTTCGTGGTAGTTGGTAGTGTCGGGGCCTTTCACTTTTTCAACCGGTTACCTATTAAGCAGAGAGAAATTCGCTCATCATCGCCGCCATACGGTATTATATTATAGAAACGGAATATTGGCGATTTATTTATTGGAACGGACCTTTATTATTTTTATACGAAACCGATAGCAGATATACGAAGCATCGGTAGGCGTGTCGACAGTTATAATATTTCTGGAAAAGATTATATATTTTTTATTTCAATTCGGATCATTCGGTAGTGGTGCGCGATGGGTATGGGCGGTGAGAAATCGGCGGAAAGGGAGGAATCGACGTTTAAAGAGATAGAAGCGATCGGCAAAGACATAGAAGCCAGTCATAAATTCAGAGGAGTAAGTAAAAAAAAAAAAACGGCGCGACTGCTAGTACTCGTAATTAGCAAGCAAGTCAGGTTTAGCTTAAAAAAAATAATATTAAATTGAAAATAAGGCTTTAGTTGTTATAATTAGTCGCACGTTTCGGTTAAAAATATTTTTAATAAATTTCATAGGCTGATGAGAAATTTCCTAAAAGTCCTGAAGCGCGAGGCTGAATTATGAACTTTAAGAATTTGAGTGTTCTAAAGGGTGAAAGAAACAAGGTCTTCAGACATTTAAATCGCTTCTAAAAAGTAGTAGCGGACCAACAATACTGAGCGATGTTTGTCTAATGCATGGTGATCAAAAACTTAAAATTTACAGGGAAGTTTTCCAATCTTAACACGTTGTGAGTGATAAAATTAACAAAAAAAACTTAATTAATTACACACAGGTGGTGGTTTGATAATTAATTCCGTGTTTCTGTAGTAAGTACTGTTATATTTCTGTATTGATCTAAATATCGATTAGTAAAAGAAATATCGATTTGTTAAAAGAAATTGCATTAAAAAATAATTTTTCCTTATTCCGTTTATTTTTTGTTCAGCGGACCGTTGACAATGCGATTAATATTGTTAGTAAATTATCGATTTCGCAAAACAATGTTCATTGACGCGTAAAGGTTAATATAATAGAAATGCAAATTATAATTACTATCAAACGTCACATATCCATTGTGTTCTTAGTGACAATTATTGACTATTATAATCAGGGTAACGACATCCCAGTATAATATGCAATGTTCAATCTTAAGATATTGACACTATGGTCATAGTTAGAAAGAAAATTTGCTCAATTTCGCTGGAAATTATAATGAAGTTCTTAATACACTCGAGTAACACAATGGGAAATAGGAAAATCACATTTTCTCTAGAATTTGGTCACACAACATATCACAGTTTTCCTCTAGTTCTTAAATTAAGGTAAATAGATCGACAATTAACCATCTAACCATCTAATCTGTAGCCCAAATCCTTATTTTACAATGAGAACATAGTTTGGTAATAAAAAAATCTAAGTGTGTATATATATATATATATATATATATATATATATATATATATATATATATATATATATATATATATATATATATATATATATATATATATATATATATATATATATATATATATATATATAATTAAATCCAGGCTATTGCGAAAATAGGACGAAACTACAAACAAACGGATTAAATCCGATTGACTAGTGGGTACAGGTAGCTGCACATTACGTTCGACATTGTATCGATACAGTATATTTTAGAATAAGTAAAATTTTGCTACTAAAATAACCTAGGTATGTGGATTTTCGAGATAAAGAACTCGCTTGTTGCATTCCGTTAAATAAGTTGTATGGGTATTTTTTTTTATATCAGAACCATTACTATAACCATCCAAATTTTCGCTTTTTACTGTTTTGAGGCTGTTTACTGGATATTTTGCGTCGGGAATTACTTATTAAGACCAACGCAAACAACAAATTGCCTGATTCAATTAAACAATGACACGGCATAATCAGCAAACAATTTATTCTAAGAGTGACAGTGAAACAATATGCATTCCTTCAAAAATAATTAAAACATAACAGCCAGAAATAGAATATGTAAATATTATCCTAGAAATTTCTAGTGAGCTTTTTTAAAAAATTCGGAATAATATTATGGCAGGTGCAAGTCGAATTCAACATTCAACAAATTTCCAAAAAATACAACATGGAATGAAACTATAGCGGTAAACGAAGGCTGCGCATTATAGTAATGGTTTTGGTTAGTCGTTAGTTAGTGCGTATTTTTTTTCTGCGAACAATATTTCCTGTACAACTTTTGAGCACACTTTTCGCTTGTACATCTGATCGTCTTGTCTGCGTCTTAGTGGAGTTCTACTTACTTGTTACGGAGCTGTACAGGGTGTTCATATTTAAAATCTGGCTTTTACTGCTTATGTCACAGCAAGTGTCTACGTTTACTTAAGTAGCTCCAGTGTCGAAACTTTGCGTTTGTGTATAACATGGAAAAATAGTTTAAATATTTGGCGCAGTTTATTTACGAAAATATTGTTTCTGGAAATTTTAAGAGATTTTTTGGATTTTGTTATATAGTATTTATAGGAATCTAAAACTTCATACAGTTCCGAATATTATACCGAACCTTTTTTAAATTGTACTAATTAAATTTAAAATTACAAACTCTGTACTTACTTGGCTTTAGAAGAATCAAAATTTAATTTTACCATTTGGACGAACTTGTTTTTCGGTTTACAAATTTTTTGGTTTGGATGATGGGATACGGCAGAATCGGAATATACATAAATGTGGTACGAGAACGGTAAAAACAACCTGGGGTCATAGACAGATATATCAATGTATCTATCCTTATCAGCAAAATGGGAATTTTGGGGCCAGACGACGGAAACAACGATAAGCGCGTCACCGGAAAGACTTACTTGACATATCCAAAATGTTCTCCATATTTATTGTGTTACAGCTAAGATGTTTATATTCTTAAATATTTTTAAAAAATCTGCTATGTAAAGAGAATTTTATACATTGTTTAAAAATTCCTATAGGGAAACGAAGGGTAAATATACTTTTTAACAATATCATATATGCTTAACAATACTTAACCAACCAAAACTAACCAACAGAATTTTCTAAATATTTTTGAAGAAAAAAGAACTTGCTAGAATTATGAGGGTTTCGCTTTGGTTACTTTGTTGTTGTATTTCGTCTCGAATTAAATGCAATAATAACAAACTACCCAAATACGCTGGGGTAGACCGCATACTCAAGTTTGTAATACTGTTTGGTTTTGTATAAAGTTACAACAAATCAGTCAGTGTAAGTGCTGTGTAAACTACTCACTACTGTAGTATTGTCTGGAATATATCACCTTTTAAAAACTATTAAAAAACTAACAAATACCTTTTATTTATTTGCAGGGATTCAATGGCAGATTAGCGTTCGCTATCGCCGCTTCTGCGTTGGGTTCATCTTTCCAACACGGTTACAACACAGGAGTTCTCAACAACCCGCAAAAGGTAACCTTTGGCTATTCTACATATATAGAAGATTACTTTTAGACTGCTTATCGTCATTATCAAAATTGCGTTGAAGAATTATAATAATATAATATAAAAGATGTTTTATTCCAAGAATTTTACTTTTATTGAAATGTTATAGATTTATTTTTTTATCATCATTATCATTTGGTTTTTAAAATCAAGTTGCAAGTTCTCTATATCATCTCTTCTCTTCGCAATTGGTGGTAGGAAAAATGTTTATAAAATTCTTTTTGGTTTAGCAACAAACCTACTGTTTATATACAAAAATTGTCCACGTAACAGTCATTGTCAAAAATATTTTTCTACTCCCGTCCACTTCAGAGCCACTTCAGACATTTCCGGGATTTCTCACGCCTTGAATTTTGACGTTTTTCAATTCTGACGGTCATGTCAGTGAATGTATTCGTGTTGTTTTTCGAAAATGAACCCAAAAACTAACGGTTGTAGAATAAGTATAGTGTGCAACACGTTCGGTAAACTTTTTAAGTCACTCGTTTATAAAACACTAGCTCCGCTCGTGTCAAATAAACTCATGAGTGAAATACCGCACCTAGGAACGTATATGTGAGAATAAATTATAAATGGAAACAATTAAATTTAATTTAATTTAATAACACATAAAAAATAAAAAAAGAAACGAAACGGAAATTATCATGGCATGGCACGGCATTGCTACTGGGCTGACATAATTCCGTTGTTCATAAAACTCCAGAATAATTGATCAGACCAGAAGATCGTGAAAATTGACATAACTGCTTTATCTGGATTCTGGATCATTCTGGATTATTTTCTAATTAAACTTGGCCTTCAAAATTTTGATCAATAAATGTTGGCCCACCAATGGGCTACCCTATGTGAAAAACCACGTTTTACTACGAGTTATGTTTTGCCCTGTGCGTCAGGTGAGTCTGTTCAAATATAACGCTTATTTTCTGGATTAAAAGTCTCGTGTTTGTTTTTTTTTCTTATATTTACCGCTAATTTGTTACAAATTACTTTTCAATCACTTTTTTGAATTTCCAACTTAATTATATCAACGAAGTTGTGTTAATTTAGTGTTATTTCCTACCAATAACATTTGATTATTATCAATCTTTTTGATATAACGTTCTAATTTTTTTAAAAACTTTTCTACTAAAATATTATCCTTTAAGGTTCAATAAAAGTATATAATTATTGCTGTTCGGATAGCTTAAACATTTTGAACAATATTTTACATAGAAACAAAAAAATCCATGCTCCAGAAAAATACTTAAATGTGTGCTAAATATTCGAATATGTGCGTGCGTGTGTTATAAATATTTTACCCATTCGCAAAAATCAAACAAACAATTTCTTTCATTAAAACTTATCTATGCATTTGCATGCATACATTTGCTTTAACGTTATTATGAACATACTTGGAAAGGCAAAGGAAAACTTGAGAATATACATGTCGGATGGATCTCATTTCACTGTTTTTTTTTTTAATTACGTGACCTTTAATATCTGAAAGTAGGCAAACTTGGAACCACCAACTTCTTTGTTATAAATGATGATGAACTTGTTATTCATTAGGTTGTTTTCTTTTCAGTTGAACATCACGTAATAAATAAATATAAATTTGTCACTGTATCAAGTGGATTTTTTTATGATCATTATTGAATTTACTAGATGCAACACAGAAAATGGACGCTCTTCTCTGATTGGTTCTTCTCCTTAACTAGTAAACTGGAAAGCTTTTTTTATATTTCGGCTTCTCTGTTTGTGAATTGATTTCAATAAGACCATTGTTATTAAAATAGAATTCAACTTATTCGGGCTCAGAAACAGATATAGAAAAAAAATGACTTGCAAAGAAAATAAAAAAGTATATGGGGTTGTTATTTAAAGAGACTCTTATTTTTGAAACATCCTGAAATCTAGTAGTGGAGAGAACTACCTAAACCTTTCCAAAAATTGTCTGAAGATACTCATAGAGAAATATTTTTCCGTAGGGTTAATCAAGTATTAATTTTCAGATTTTGGAACAATGGATCAATTCAACGATGCAGCAAAGATCAGGAGGAGAAGTCCCAACAAGCGAGGGAATTATTTTCATATTCTCACTGATGGTATCGGTTTTCTGCGTAGGGGGAATGATCGGAGGTGCCGTTACTGGTAAGTCAATCAATTTCCAATGAAAACCTAGAAACAACGCAACTTAGTCAACGTTCTATCGCCTTTCAGGCTTGGTAGCTGAACGGTTCGGTCGCAAAGGCGGACTTCTTATCAATAATCTCCTGGTTCTTCTGGCAGTCATCTGCATGTCGTCGTCCAAATCTGCGGCTTCCTACGAACTTATTATTCTGGGTCGATTCCTAATTGGAGTCAATTCAGGACTGAACGCTGGTCTGGCACCGATGTATCTTGCGGAAATCTCCCCTGTTAATCTGAGGGGTGCGGTCGGTACGGTCTACCAACTAGTCATCACCATATCTATATTAATAGCTCAGATTGTTAGTCTTCGCTCAGTTTTGGGCACTGAAAACCACTGGCCAACCTTACTTGCCTTAACCATAATACCCGCCGTATTTCAGGTTCGTATTTTAATTTTTGGTCGATTGTAACTAACAAGTATCAATGCCATTTGCAGATTGTTACTTTGCCCTTCTGCCCGGAATCTCCAAAATATCTCCTTCTCTCGAAAGGGAAGGAGTTGGAAGCCCAAAAGTCTTTGAGCTGGCTCCGAGGTACATTGGCAGTACACGACGAAATGGATGGAATGCGGGCAGAAGCGGAGGCTATGAAGTTGGTACCGAGAGTTACTATGCGGGAATTGATCACCAACAGCGCTCTCAGAATACCCTTGATCATCGCGTTAACCGTTATGGTCGCTCAACAGCTTTCTGGCATCAACGCGGTAAATTAAAATAATAACTATTTGCATGACAAAATTATATTCAATACAAGTTCAAGTTGGCGCCACGATTATATGCCATTTTCAGGTGTATCAGTTATCTCTAATCAGAAGTATAAATTTTGTAAAGTGTTTGTTTTTCCAACCGTGATTACTATTTCAGGTTATGTTCTTCTCGAGTCAAATATTTCAAATGGCGGGATTGACAGACGACAGCGCCACCTACGCCACACTGGGCATGGGTGGAATTAACGTCCTAATGACTATAGTGTCACTGTTCTTGGTCGAAAAGGCGGGTCGAAAGACCCTGCTGCTGATCGGATTCGCCGGCATGACTATCGACACCACGCTGCTAACCATTAGCATGCTTCTGGCTGTAAGCAAGTGATTCATTCATAAATATAACGTCTTAACGATATTGGGTTGCAGGATAAGGCGCAAGCATTGAAAGTCATGTGCGTCATTTTCGTTTTGATCTACGTGATAATGTTTGCGTCGGGTCCCGGTTCCATCCCATGGTTCTTGGTGTCTGAATTGTTCAACCAATCGGCAAGACCTACAGCCAGCTCTTTAGCGGTCTGTATCAATTGGACGGCCAATTTCTTGGTTGGCTTGGCGTTTCTACCTTTAGCCGTAAGTATTTTCCGATCGGCTAGTGCCAATTTGACATAAGCAATTTTGTTTACACAGAACGCGATGGGCCCATATGTTTTCATCATCTTTATAGTACTGCAGTTCCTGTTCCTGTTGTTTATACACTACAAAGTGCCGGAAACGAAGAACAAAACCTTAGAGGAAATATCAGCCATGTTCAGGGCACAGTCTTATCAATAAAAGAAATGGTATATAATACTTCTATAAAAAATATGTCCTCTTCCTCCAATCGACTACAAAAAGGTTTTCGAAATTATAAAGTCGTCGACGATTTGCCTGGTGTTTAGTGATTTGTAAGGGAGAAGGACAGACTGTTTTAATTGTTAGGAAAATCTGTATATATGTCTATGTCTAATACACCATAAACTGTTTGCAATCTTTTGACAGTAGTTAACTGAAATTTTTGTGACAATACTACAAGTTCTATCCTTCAAGTTGATGTCCTTATCAATTTTAATAACAGATATTAATTGTAAGATTAATCCAATAATTCCAATATTATTCAAAACCAACCATGTTCATGAATTTGTCTGCTTTTTCTATTTTCTTTTATTTAATTTCTTCATTTTCGTGAAACTGCAAGTCAGGAAATAAAAATATTAAGAAACATATTAAAGTCTGCCTCATAAATAATGTCTCTATTAGAAACATTTTGGAGCGACTTTAATTTCAAGGCGCAGAATATTTTAGACTGGACAAGTTTCTAATATTTTAGTATCATAATATTGTATAAGAGGTAACCAAGACTAATTAAATGGTAAATGGTATGTCAAAAGATAGTGAACAAAGTGTATATGTGTCATATTTTTTGAAAATGCAAGTTTGACTGATGTTAATAGTTATGTATTTATTTACTTCAAAACATTAGTGCTGTTTCAAACAAAAAGAGGTTCCGTTATTTAGAACAAAGGGGTCCTAAATTCAAGAAATATGAACTAGCTTTTGTGAAAGACATTAATTCACACCCCACATATTAATCTAGTAACCGCAAATGCTGGATTCCATACAAAGTAATTTGATTGCTTCAAATTTTATTGGGCCAATTTGAGCAAAAAGAAGATTATGACTCCTCATTTTAAAACTTCAAGACTTAAAAACAGAGTGCTTTATTTTGTTTGAAACGAAAAATATTGTGTTGCGTATGTATAGCGGTTCACCTTCTTTTAAATGTTTTTTATTATTAATTATTTAAAGCTGTGTAAAAAAGACATCTATATTTACTTTATTAATAAGATTTCCTCATTATGTAACACATTTACTTGAGTGCTCCAGTGCTGGTAAAATTTAAACAAAGGCATACTCAAAACTAGGTTAGCCTTTGGTATACTTTATTTAATTTGATCTTTGAACATTGGCTTGAACAGCTCTCTACATGTCTAGGAATAAGTGAACAAACAAGTCATGTTTTGCTAAAAATATTTAAAAAGTTGAGAGCCAAAAATACACTGAAATTATAAAGGAATGGAAATAAGATGGAAAATGTTAAGTATGTTACCCTGCAGTTGCACTTTCATGTATTCCTGTTTTCAGTTGGTTCCGTTACATATTGCCACATTACTTATGGTTTATCAGAGGCTTACTAAACTCAAGCTGCAATAAGTTAATATAATTATTAAATGCACTTTGGCTCTGATACAACTAGTATGCTGTAATGCATAAATCTTTGACAATGTGACAACAGAGTACTTTTCTCCTCTACCGATTCAATGTTTTATGTTATGAGTATACAGGGAGCGATTTTTGGGTCCATTTTAAAAAGATGACTTAATGTGAACATGTATCTTAAATGTCTTAACTTTTGAGATACACGATGGTAAAGTTTTCAAAAATAAAATATTTTTTTTTTAATATTTAATACCACTTTATATATTTTAATGAAATTTGGCACACATGTACTATTTATCAAGAGGCATTATTTAGGGTACCACATTATTTTTTGAAATACAGATTGAACGCCACTGATTTCTTTTAAAGTAAAAATTTTTCTTACAATCTCTTACAATTTATGTACGGTAAGAAAATAAACATAGAAACTAGAGAAGTTGTTGAAAGTGTCCTCCACCTTGAAGGATGAGTCTTCAGCCCTTTTGCTCATATTCCCGCGCACTCTTTGAAATATACCTCCAGTGTTTCTAATTAAATCGCACGATCCTACTTCGTAAGTATTTTAATAAAACAAATAGATAATTACTTAAGTATTATCTGCATATTGTCATATTAACAATATTGTTATGATCATGCAGAGAAGAGGTTTTCATCTTTTTAAGCGAAAATCATCGGATTGAAAAAAATTAAGAAATTTAATTTTTTTAGCAATGATGAGAATTTTTTTATTTTAACTAACTAAATAAAGTCTGTTAATATATGTGTGCCAAATTTCATTAAAATATCTAAAGTGGTATTGCCGATTTATTGACATTCGCCCTGTATACATAATATAAACACATTACGGGATGAATTCTAACAAAACAAAGTTTAAGCGGCATTCTTAGTACCCCTCCCTCCTACATTTGGGCCCTGAGTGCGCCATTAGGAATATTTCACTCAAATTAGATTGATCCAAAAAAAAAAAAAAAAAATATATATATATATATATATATATATATATATATATATATATATATATATATATATATATATATATATATATATATATATATATACAAAGAATCTCTAAAGTGTAAAGTGCCATGTTCAATACCTTTATGTTTGCAGGACACTGGATATATACATCTATTATTGCTTCAATAATTTAAAAATCCGATAAGCAATTATTTCTGTCAATCAGAGAAAAACAAATAAACACTTGCGCAAATAACCGAGCATATTTCCGGGTTATTTTTAGGTTTGTATTTTAATAATTTATGTACATGATTCACTTTAGGCAATATATTTTTTTCATACACGGAGTATTATTTTTCAAAAACAATAAATGTAAGCACAAAACATTTAATAGAAAAAATAAGATAAAGATCTATACAAATAACAAAAAAAAATCTTATACTTAATTTAGATTCCGTTCTCGAGGACAGTGCTATTAAGACCTTCGCCGGTGTCCATCTCATCTTCAGACGAGCTTTCCAATATGGTGGGATCTGAATCTGGATTGGCGAACAGATTGCCTGTGGCCTTAATTTTGATCTCCCTCAACATTAAATTGGCTAGGGAATTGTTAATCCCTCTGACATTTTCCACTCGGACGTGGGGCACCCTGCAATTTTTTTTGAAATTGTTAGCATAAAACTTGGCATAGAGGAAGGCAAGTCTTTATCCATTAAAAAAACGCCTTTTGTTGCATTTTTACAACATATCTTATTAGTCTACTAATTATAAAGCATTATTTTTGCTAAATTACATTAACTAATTAAATTAACTTTCTTAAAAATGCTCACCCATTCAATGCTTCAAAGTTTTCTACCCCTTTTTCAATAGGATATTCTCTTTCAGTTTCTAAAAGTATACCATACTGCCGACAATCTTTAAATTCCACATCTATTAATTCCACTTGGCAGTCATCGAAAATCTTAAACCCTACATTGGCCCCAGAAATCTGACATCCTTTTAGAGTAATTTTCGAATTAGAATTCCCAACAATCGCCATTAAATAGTTTGAAACTTCGCAGCTTTCTAAAGTTAGTTCAGCTCCAGAAAGCACCAAAATTCCCTCATTATCAGATTGTGATTTTATGCCAAGGATTCGACTCTTTCGGATAGTTGTTTTGCCTTTACGAACAAGAATTGCACAACTGGCCGAGTTTGATTCAATGGTTAAGTTTTCTATGATAGAGGCATCTCCCACACAATCCAGCATTACATCCTCTACATCTGAGACCAGCTTAACTTCAGTATTGTCACCAATGCCCTTAATTATAAAGTCTTCTATAAGAGCACCCTGATCACTTATTATATGCTGATTTGGGCTCAACAGCATTGTCTCTCCTATAATGGCAGATTCTAGTTTTTCCATAAAATCAGTTGAAAAAGTTAAAGTTGAATCAGGGTATAACTGCTCAACATTCTGGATGAACCTGATGTATTCATTTGCCTTTCCTTAAAAAATAAATCTTTATTGTAATGCCAATTTATCTGTTTATATAGTTAGAAAGTAAGAGTTTCATATATCCAATTCAAAAACAATTTGAGAGTATGTTAAGGTTTTAATAAATTTACCCAGTGGTGCAGTATAATTTCAAATTTTGGATGCACTTTACTAAATAATGTTAATGAACTCACCCTTTTTGAAGATTAACCAAATTCGTGACACATCTACCTCGCTACTCTTTTGTGATTTCAAACCTTTCTGCCTTTTAACAATAACTTGCCTAAATACTTCATTTTCTAGCAAATTTACCTCATTTTGAATTTCGATCAGTCTTACATTAATCTCAATTAAATTCATAACATTACCATCAGATTCCTCATTGCTTGGCTCAATATCACTGTCAAATTCGTCACAAACTGATTCTAGAGCTCGCCGCTTTTTATTTAATCGACGTGCTTCATTTAAAAGAGCATAAATGTGTTCAGCAGTTGTTTTGGGTATTTTTCCATTTTTTAAATCATAATACAAACGCAGACGGGAACTAAGGTGAGCACTTTTCCAGTCGTTCACGTCTTCATCTTCGTCCCATGGCATTACGAGGTGAATGTAGAAAAACCGTAACATGTCTAAGACATTGGCTGTTGAACTTAAATTCAAAGCTATTGTTTTGTCTTGCTCCTTCGTAGGCCACAGCTCCACGAGAGGCACGTGATGCTTCTCGGGCAAGCATATATCATCTTGCACCGCAAGAACTCTAACTAATGCCAACAACCGCGAGAAATCAATGTCTAACACATATATCAAAACCACTGTAGGGTATGGTACACTAAGAGACTCGCACGCGAGTCTCGACAATTTCCACACAGCTTGCCACCCGTTGGGGTCCATAGTAAGTTCCAAATAGTACGCCCATGTAGATTGCAATTTAGAATAGGGTACATTATCCAACCCAGAAAACATTTCCTCGTATTCTTGGAGACGGAGGTGTAGACTTTTATCGTACGCTATCACTTGGTCCATCGTTAAATCAGAATCTAGGTAGAACTTTAGTATTTTTTTAAATCAAGTGTTGTCTTAACCGTCTTCGTTATTCGAAATTTAAAATTTGCTGTTGACCACCAAAGAACGAATGAATATTTACAAAGAAAGTAAATTGGTACGACGTAACATCAGTATTGTGATGTGTGTTGGCATGAGCAGAGAAAAAGCGGTTATTCAGTTAGGCATATGTCCATTTTTTTTATTTTTATTTATTTAATATCAATATTATATTATATTGTATTTGTATATGCATTGAAACAATCAAACAATTTTTTTTGGTGAAACGATATAACAACTATCAGCTGGATAAAAAAAATGTAATTTAAAACTATTAAGAGAGCAACTATTGTTTGTTGGATCAAACAGTCGAATATTGTATGTGTTGTAATCTAAATACCTCTATAAGTAATTATCTAAAATAATCATGCTACGGAATTTGCGAAAAATATTTAAGTACTCAATTAACAAACTTATAATTTTGTATAATTTGCTGACCCATATTGTACACAAATTGGTGGATCCGCAATATATTTAAAAAAATGCATAATCTTTTACTTGTTTTGCTGTATAAACTATAAATTCCTGATAGAGGTTTTACAAAAATTGCATAACCGACGATATACACCTCATCGAGGGACCAACCAACTAAATGACTCTATGCGCCTTTGTCTGAGTTCCTGCGATATGGAATCTCGTCCTGCTGATTCAGCGACCAACTGAATGTCACGCAACCAGTGTTTGTAATCAGAAATGGAAAACGTTTATTACCGCTTTAAAAAGGTAAGTTAATACAGACGATTCGTTTTAATTGCTGTCCGGTACTTACCTTAATTGGATGCACGATTCGGATTCCGGACTGGGCCTCCGGACATGGATTTAGTCGATATTTTACCTCTGTTGTTTATATTCCAGTGAGTGTCGCAGTATTTTTTCAGTATTTATGAATTTGAAAAATTTGAACCGGAGGTAAATATTTAATTTAAGAGCAATATATTTTAGCCCAAATATTATCTTAGAATGTTGGATCGGAAAAAAATTGCAATCAAATTCTTTACTCGTATTTGTAACAATAATGCCTTCGATAACATTTGCTATATAGATATTGTTGTTGTTATTGTTATTTTTTAAGATCCATTGTCGGACGGGTAATTAAATATAGAACGACACCTATTACGGTTTTATTTATCAATCCAAAACCTTGATTCTTTCAGTATTTATGGCACATCACGAAAATAATTATTTTAAAAAATAATTGTTCCTCAAAATTCGAAAATTCAATTTTTTTAAAGCTTATGTCATTTGGTTACTTTCATTATTCATAGCTGCATGCATTCTAGTTTAAATTTGATAAAATCTTTTTTTTTATGTCGCGTTGATTAGTAAAACGTTTAGATTTAAATCAATCGCGGTGAGAATGATTTCGTTTTGCAGAGAATGGTTTATCCCGAAAACTTAACTCTAGACCAAATGGCTCGCAAGGTATCAGTAAAATCGTCCTCATGGTGCAGCGGACCCCTAGAGCAAATGTCTAATAATGTTAATGTGTGTGAAACAAACAAATGTTTTGAAGAACAGAGTGCATGCGTCGACAGAAAATTGGAATCCACGAATCCGGTCGCGTAAGTATAGATAGACCAGTTCGTTATTTATTATATTTGTAATACCACTGCACCGATTTTAATTAAAATAACTCTTCAGTGAATATTTAAGGTTTTCGATATATTTTCATTTAAACTCTTAACTTGTAAGTAACCATACATGAGGTCTAAGAAAGTACATTAAACCACCGCACGACGAGGCCAGATTAAAACAGTTTTTTTGACAGAACGTATTAAATATTTGAAAAACCGTCAAAGTTATTTTTACACAAAATGGGGCGACGCAACGACAGGGTGCTCCATTTGAACATAGGCAAGTTGACTGTCAGTTCCGATGCAAGTAGAGCTAACTTATTTTTGCTACTAATAGTTATCTTATAATGTAGCGTATAACTAATCAATATGTATTATATTAGTAGTCAAAATATCGCACCCTAGCAATTCAAAGTAAACAACACCCACATTCGTTTTAATAATTACGCAAAAATCGGAACATTTATTTACACTTGATAAAACAGTGATGGGATCTGTGCTTTGTTATCAAATACAGTACGAAGCAGATTTTCGCTGCACGCACAAGCGAAAAGGAAACAACGATGTATGATTTTTTGTGCGTTTCCCATTGGATTTCATCAGTCGCATTGTTGTTAAAGAGTTCCTTTTTTTAGCTCGGACAATAACCATTTCATACAGGACAGAATTCGACATTTGGTGGATGCCTTCTCCACTAGAGCCCATGCGGCCAGACAGCGCTTGGAAGGGCTCGAAACGCCTTCCACCCTAAGGTAAAGTGCATTTGGAACAGCGGTTCACTGACCATTTAAAAGGAGGCTGCCAATTATGAATCGAGAAAATTCTGTACAACTCGCGAGGTAGCCCCAAAATTATTGCTCAAAAAGTTGTTAATTTTTATTAACAATAATTTTATTGTAAACTACAATGGTACTTTTTTCCAAAACATAAATATCAGTTGGTTAGTAAATTTTTCATGCTTCTACAACAGCCAAATATTCAATGTGATTTGGTGAAATTATTTACTTAAATATTACATGCACTATTATAAAATCACCATACATACATACTATTGCAATACTGACATACAGGGTGGCCACTTTTCAATGGGATTCTCTGGGTAACTTTTAAAACATTAAAGATATAAGGTCAGTTAAATTTAATAATTAATATTTTATGAATATTATGAATATAAATTTAACTGTGCAATACAAAAACAAAATTAAATATCACAATAAACAAATTACCATTGCACACAAACTTGTCTCAAAAAGGATTTTTTTATGTAATTTAACAGTCTACAAAAAAGTAAGATTTCGGGCGTTTTAACTTAAAATTTATAAAATTATTATTTTCAATTGTTTTTTTTTCCAAAATGAAAACAGAAGTTCGTGAAGAACTAAATATAAGATGAGCTAAAAATGCTAAAATTTGTTTTTTCTAAAATGTTTCTTAGTGAAAATTTTTATCATATTTAACTAATTTTTTAAAAGTGATGAATTACGGTGTTTTTGAAAACACTATTACTGTACCCAACAAATAAAATATGGCTATAAATTATCAAGACTATATCAACAATTTATCAAACTCGGTTGCTTGATTTCACAGTTCCACTGAAACAGATGAGACACAGAGTCCTGAGATTTCCAAAAAACCGAGACTCAGTATCTCATTTTCTGACAAATACATCGAAGAATTATCAACATCCGATAAAGGCGACAGAACAGGATGTTTCTGGAAATTTCTTTACCGTACGGAGATTATAGATCCCAACGGAAAAATGTACATCACTTGGATGTGTGTTGTCACAATGGCCGTGTTGTACAATATATGGGTAAGTTCCTTAAACTGTAGAGTCCTATTTCTACAAATAATTTGGATTGTTAGCTGTTGGCGGATGGTCAACTAAATTAAAGTTGTTTATTATTTATAATCGGTGTTTGACTTTAACATATACGAGGTGTGACAATTAAATAGCAGGACTGTCCATGCAAGACAAGGAACTTATTTTTTCTAATAGAGAACGCTACAAGGAGAGACTGACACAAAATATGTGGGTTGTGTGAAAGTTTGAATTTTAATTACATTACCAACAAATATTATAAAATAAATAAAATAATAAAATAAAATTATTAAATAAATAAAATAAAAACAAATTTTTGAAAATGACAAAATTGTGATTTATAGAAAAATTTTACCTTATTGAAATGGTCATCACATAGATCAGTTGACTTTTCAGGTCGTACTCGAAAAGTAACCTACCAAGTAGAAGATTCACATCTGACAAAAAAATGGCATGACCAAGTCCCTAAAAGGTTTACAGCAGCTGTTTTTTTTTGTGAACAGAAGTTTTTTAGACTTCAGATTATTTAATTGTCTCAGCTTTCAAACTAAAAATTTAAAAGCGTCAACACAAGTTTTCTGGATTGATGTTTTTTTTGCCCTTACAGTTGATTTTGCAATCGTAGGTAATACCATTAAGAAGTACGTTTCCGTATCAAACATCCAAAAATCGACTTTGGTGGATGGCTTTCGATTACGTCGCGGATATAATTTACATTCTTGATATCATTATTGTCCAGCCCCGAATTAAGTATCTAAACGAAGGCTTTTGGGTCAGCGACGCCAAATTGCTCAGACAAAACTATGTAAAGAACAAACACTTTAAGGTAAAATCCAGTCTCTACAGTCTTTCCGGTCAACATGTAACTTGTTACAGCTTGATCTTGTGTCCCTCCTACCTCTGGATATTTTCTATGTGTTCTACGGGCCAGACTTTGCTATACTCCGTTTCCCCAGATTCTTCAAGCTCCACACTTTCTGGGAGTTCTTCAGTTTAGTGGACAGACAACTTTCCAATCCATATATCATCCGGATTACGAAAACCCTAGTGTACATGATGTATTTGATCCACCTCAACGCGTGCGCTTATTATGCGTTCTCCAAATGGGAAGGTATAGGTTATCTAGTTTTAGATATTTTTGTAGGTATCCGGGGAATTGTTGGATTGTTAGACTTTAAAACGTTTATGACTTAGATGTATTTCATTTATTAGCTTTTGAAACTATATAAATTGGTTTCAAAAATGAAAACTGGGTCAAAATTTCGAACTCCAACTCCAACCACTATCCCCACAGGAATCGGCAGCAATAGTTTCGTCTATAACGGGCAAGGCAACGCCTACATAAAGTGCTTCTATTTCGCCACCAAAACGGCGACGTCTATCGGCAAAAATCCGAAACCGTCTCAGGAAACGGAGTACATTTTTATGACTTTCTCATGGCTGATGGGCGTGTTCGTGTTCGCTCTCCTTATTGGCCAAATCCGAGATATTATTTCGACGGCTACTAGACTGAAAACGGAGTACAGGAAATTGATGGACGAGACATTGGAGTACATGAGGAGACTGAATTTGCCCCAGGACATGCAAAGGAGGGTACAGTTATGGTTTAACTACACGTGGGAAACACAGCACACTTTAGGTAAGTCGGAGGGGAACTCTACTTGTCAATTTAATAACTGTTTGATTACGCTGTTATCTATATTGGTTAGTTGATTAGTTATTATTATTATCAATATATGAAAGTTTATTTATTTATTTATTTACTATTTGCAAATTTTCACTTTAAATTCGTTGAAATATACTCCTGGACATGATTAACATCATAAATTTGCCACATTTCTGATGTAATTTTTATTCTTAATTTAGGATCCGACAATGTCATAGTTTTCGCTGGTAACCATAGAAAGTTCATTTTCGATTTATACCGAGTGTAATAAAACTGCTATGTGTTTTTCCGAAAATTCGTATCACCCTGTGGAATATACTAGCAACCGAAACATAACAGTTGACAAAACGGTGTATATTCTACAATAACACAGAAAATGAAGTAAACCAAAAAACAAATGTGGGCAAAAGATGGTGCTCCACAGGGCAATACTAATTTTCGGAAAAACACATAACATTTTTGTTACACCCGATATAAATGGAAAATGATTTTTTTTTTACTATCAGCGAAAACTACCCCATTGTCAAGGAACCAACCTACAATGCAAAAAAAAAATCATTCAAATTTCAAATTTCATAAATTCAGAAAAAAAGAGCAAAAAACATGTCAAATTTACGATGTTAATTTGTTGGCACAAAATGCGCCGAAATTTAAATTAAATTCCATGCCGCCACAAATTGGTCTGAGCCTCAAAGTTCAGGTACGCCACTCATCTTCCTTCCAAACGCTAAGCAATTTGTTTTTTTTATGTTGAAGAGTTCGTAGTGTTAACACACATCGTTTTAAACAGTTACTTAAACACCTCTAAAATAACCAATTATAAAGAGTTTCTTGGAATCTGTATTTAGGTCATTAAAAGAGATGCAGCTGTGCTATGGCTATATCGAGGAATTGTGATAGCGAGTTATGAATTTGTAATTCTTTGACCTGTGCACCCGTTTGCAGACGAGCGGCGACCATCTTTGGTTAAGAATTTGAATTTTTTTTCACCTGTAGTGCCATCTGTGGGTTAGCAGGGCAAGTTTAGTTAAAAATCTGTAATTCCTATGATTAATTAGGATTCTGTAATTTCGTTATCTCAAGTTTTCACTGGGTCGAGAATGCAGAACATGGGTATTTCTACCACTACAAAATGTAAAAGCGAAAAGTCAGAAGCGATTCAGACATTAACAATAACATCGTTATGTGGCTGATTATTTCTCACGTGACATGGTTAAGTTATTTTTTAACCTTAAGTAGTATTGAAAGAAAGCAATTTAACAATCCGAGTTTCCTTTCAAGACGAAAATCGTATTATGGACTGGCTACCACACAAAATGAAAACCGATATCGCCATAAACGTGCACATCAATACTTTGAATAAGGTAAAACTGTTCGCCGACTGTGACGAAGCGCTCCGCAGAGAACTGGTACTGGAACTTAAATCGGTTATCTACTTACCAGGCGACGTTATCTGTAAAAAGGTGCGAAATGACTTTTAGCGTTTCAGAGACTAGATGGAAAACATTTTCAGGGCGACATTGGTACTGAAATGTATATCATCCAGTCCGGTCAAGTTGAGGTCGTCGGACGCAACAAGAACGACGTTTTGGCGACGCTGTCCGAGGGTAGTGTGTTCGGGGAAATCAGTTTGCTCGGTATACCGGGCATGAATCGGCGCACTGCCGACGTAAGGTAAAAGTCAAGTTTGCGAAATGACTATATGTCTCATCGTATCGTATCGTGTTGTCGAAACAATTGTTATGTAAACTTTTAGTTCTTATTTATTTTGATAAATGGATTTTCATCAAGTAAAAGCCACCTCAGTTCAATTGTCTCACTCTACCTAAATATATTGCCCGGACCACTTCAAGCTTTTAGAGTCCTAAATGTTCTTCTTGACGGTATACAGGAGATGTATCCGGTATTTAACTTTGGTAAATTTTTACGAAGGTCTAACCGCAGGCCTACTTCGCTTGGGTTTGTTCTCAATAAATAGATTCGCAATTCTACAATGACTCGTTCCTCACATTAATAATTAATTCTGGCACTAGTCGACTTCTGTAAACATTTCCTTCTTCGGTGATATGGTCTACGCATTTTTAGAAATGGAATCTTTAAAAACAATTGAAACACAAGACGGAATAAAAATAGTTCCAAACCGCAACAAACAAACAAAAGATCCATTAAAAATCAATTATTTTAAGATTTTCTATTGCTTTCTCGGAAAAAACATTTTATTGTCATTATTTTAAAACCCTTAAATTGGAAATCAGTTTAAGTTTTATAATGTGAATGATAATGGAGATTATTCTATCTAATGGGCAAATTCAACATGAAATCGAGCTACCTCAAGTAGGGACTATTATAGGAAGATTTATAAGAAGCACACTAATATGAATTAATATAACAGTTTAATCACAGAAAATTTCCCTATTCTTAAAATACAACAGTCCGCACGGCTGACATATTAAATACGGCCCTGGCTTGTGGTAAACGTGCTGAACAGGCGGATCTTAAACAAACTCATTCCGAAGTCAAAACCATAAAAGTAAAAGTAAGGTATATCGTTCGGCGAACTCTACCTACTGAAACATCGGGCGGCCCACTTACAAGACGTATACAAAGTATATTGTTAAACAAGCCACTCAAAATCTAAAGAAACTTTTTTATTTTGTTTAAAAATAACCAAAGTATTATTTCATTTTTCTAGGAGTGATCTCGCTTTTATGTCTCCTATAATCACGATCCGACTCCCGCGTTACTAAGTTTAATAGAACATAAACAGGGTCGGAAGCAGCTCAATCGGCTTACTAGTCAGAGTATTCTTGACACGATTACCTGATATTTTTCTTGAATTTTTATTCGACTCTTGGTTGATTTGGTATCGGACATAAGTTGCAGGAGGCGCCGGCCCTTTAAAATTCGGAGATCAAAAGCGAGCTGGGGCAGGCTAATGACGGGTTTTGAAAAAGATTAGGTTGGAAAATATAAGTATTTTTTATGAAAACATGTTAATCTATTAATCTATTATTATCAAATCCCCCCAAAAACTTTAGTTTTTTGAAATTCAATTAATGGTGTGGCTATGTGTGCTATGTGGCTATCTTGAGAGAATAGAACACCAATATTAAAAGTCCGTCATGGTTTTGTATGTCAATGTAGATCGAAAGGTTTTTCGAATTTGTTCGTGCTGGATAAGGCGTCACTGAATCAAGCCTTGTCGCATTATCCGGAAGCTCAAGAATTGCTCAACAAGAAAGCGAAATTGCTCATGAAGAAGAATGCCGCTTTAGAAAGAAAGCACAATGCGATGATAGTCATAAATAATCCCAGTCCGCCTGGCAAACAGGCCAGACTTCTGGATACTGTGCTCCAAGTAAGTGAACTTCCTCCATATCTTTAGGTTTTTACAAAATATTTATTGAAATGATCAAAGGATAGTAAATCGTTTACCTACCTAATTGTGATACTAGTAGGTGTTAAAGCTTAAAAGTAATTCGTAAAAGCTCATAACAATTGTTTCAAAATTGACAAGCACATTGTTCCTATATTATGCTCATTATGTTATATCAGTCAAGTGTGTCAGTCGCTCGAATATCCGGAAATCTTGTATATTTGCCCCATAATTTTTACCTAAAACGTACGTTTAGTGAACAATGTTGTCAACTGGCGTATTTATCTCAACTTAATACCGGAACATCATCTTATTATGGTTGTGACATGATTTAGTATGCCGCCCTGCCATACTCAAGCAAAATGCGCCGTTGAATACCGAATTTATTGAATCAGTTTTGAGCGAAACAAACATTTAAAAAGGATGCACTTAGTCAAAATGTGAATAAAAATTTGTCAAAATAGAGACGTGGGAGTGATTACTTATCATATACTATTTTAAATAAACTGAGTGTAATTTCAAAAATTTTGATTTTTGAAAAATTGAACAGTCCAATAGTTGTGCTGATATCGGAAGTGTACATTAAATGTACTTACTTACCTTACTTTTTTAGTTTTTTTACTTATTTGCTACTCGCTATGATTTTAGTGCCATACCGACCCCTTAAAATGTCTTTGAAAATCGAAATCAAGCTAGCAAGATACGAATGCCATTTTATAAATGACATTTTTGATAACCTTACCAGATTTTAATTTTTTTCATAAATCTTGATAATATTTTGTGTTGAATTCGTTTTAGTTTCGTTATCGCAAACGTAAATTTTTGGTAATTAGACTGAAATTTATATTGGTCAATTTTGCTGTAAGGGACGGGATTGTTATTGTCATTGTCATTCGAAATTTCGTATAAATTTCTCACTAGCACTGTGCACTATCACATAAAATTCCCATCCTTTGCAAATATTTTCATAATGTGTAGCGACTAAAAGATATTTAAACTTAGTAACTTCTAAATCTCAGTTTAATGTACTAATCAAAAAAAGGTGGTACCTTTAAATTTGCTGTAAAGATATTATTAAGGTTTTTTTTTACATTTACTACCCTAATAACTTAGCAAAGTGGCTAAAATACGAAAAAAGTACCAGCGGCAACACAACATTTCTTTTTAGTTTTGCCTCTTTATTTTTTTGGTTAAATTTATTTACCATAAATTAATAGTTTCTCAAAGAAACTTATAGAGGATACTGTAATACATTTTACAAAACTTCTGGATTCCTCCTGCGTCGGTTTTTGTTGATTCGGACTTGCTAACGTTTCGCCAATCATCCTGTTGGCTTCTTCATAATTTGACTTTAGTTTCAGTTTTATAAACAGTTTCATAAAAAGTATAAATGAATAGTTTTGGTTAGGGAACAAAACAGTCCTCTATTCGTTGGCCGAATAGCACGTCTAAAACAACAAATTCCAGGTTGTCGCACCAGATTCTAAGACGAATAAACTACTACGATATGGAAGTAGACAAGCGCCGCGCAGAAAACCCGAAAATGACAAGTTTAAATATCGCAACAGCCTTCCGGCTATAAAAAGTTGCGAAGATTGCGCAAGCTCTGACACACAGATCGAGGAGGACAGCACTGGGGAGTTAAATGACAAACGCAAGAATGACGAGGAAGCCAAAGTCACCGTTCATAGAACGATGAGTTAGAGAAAGTTACGTTTGAACTGTAACATGAGTGAACGTGTGATATATTGAGAAGTGCATTAGAACATTATTATAGCAATTATATTTATGCACAGAAATAAATCTTTTTTTGCGACCAGTCACAGCATATTCCCTTCATAATATATAACAGAGTTTCGGATAAGCTTCAAGGGATTTTCTGAATTGAGGGCGTCGCTAATAGGATTCACAAACACTGCACGATTAACAATTTTTTGGAGATGTGTACTTTTTTTTTAAATTTAGAACCTATAATAAAATATCGGGTGTTCTATTTCAGTGAGAAAACTAAAGCCAGTAAAAATGCATACTTTTAATTTTTAATTACATATTTTGTTTTGATAAAAACTTGTCAATATTACACTGTCTTATTGACATAAGAGATATGAGAATAAAAATTACGTTATAACATTACATATATTGTACGTAAATTGTAACTCGATACTTAAATTGTTACTGAATCATATACAGTGCAAATCCCTTTTCAAGGGTTCGAAACGCACAGTCGACATCCATCAAACTCATAAGCGGCCCGTGGTAACTATATCCCAATAGACCGTTGTTGATCTTGATCGAAACTGCGAACGAGTCTATATGGGTCAAGGAGAACGCAGCTACATCTATTTCCTCAACTCCATTACTTCTCAATATCAGCTGTAGTTGGGTTATCGAATTCATCAAAGTTAACCAGTCCGTTGTTAGCCTAAAATCAAAATAATCGCGTCTGATGGTGTCTGCTGGAGCTACTTGCTGATGGTATCCACTAGACGTGTGGGCCATCGACTGAGACGGTGGTACAATCATTTGCGTCTGGATGGTTGTGTCAGTATGGCTCCTCTTTTTCATATGTCCTTTCTTCTGTTTTCTTTGTTTGCTGGTGCAAACTTCATCAGAGCTTTGGGTTTTGAATGAAGCCATATTTATTTCAGCTTTAACTTTCTTAATTTCTAACTGCAAATCACAGTTTTCTGCTTCCAATGAATCTAATGTAGATTGAAGAGTTTTCTCCGGTGTTTCTGCTGTTAATGAGTGCATTCTGTCATGTCCAGGAGATGTTTTTTCTTGACGATGCGGAACATTGATTTCTTCTATGGTTTTTAGTATTGATCTGTCATCTTTAGTAGCCTCGTCTAAATAGATTTGCTTAGATTTCTGAATAAATATATCCTTACTTTGTTGTGCCGCTGCACTTGCACTGTTGCTATTATCAGACCGCTGAAAACTTGAATCTTCTAGTCTCTTACATTGTACCCTCTTAATATCGGAAGTTGATGGACTTTCTGGTGATTGCGACTTTTCAGTATTTAGTCTAGTCTTTAAGTTATTTGCACATTTTGTAAGTGAATGTCTATTTCTACGACCTTTATTTAATTTTGTGTTCGCTGTCTTTGAATTTTTATCTTCACTTTTCAACCGCCAATAAGATAATACATCATCTGCCGATGCTTTAGATATTAAAAGTTCCTCTGCAATAATTGGACCGGGATCCAAATCACTTCTGTAAGACTCCAATTTTAATAATTTGTCTGCGAATGTCTTAACTTCCTTATCTAATTTGGACTTTTCGTCTCGAGTCATTAGTTTTAGATTGTCGCATTCAGCTTTCAGATCTCGCAACTCGATTTTTAGTGCATTGCGACTAGCACGTTCTTCCAATTCCAGTAATTTTCTAGAAATATCGTCTTCCATTGCTCCGACATCTTCACCATTCACTTGATTAAAACTGTATTTCGAAATCTTTTCGTTCGGATCCGAATCAGAAGACTTGGAATTCCAACAATCGGCTGTCTCACGGGCATATCTGAAAAATTCCTCCTGTTCTTCGTCCCTTTGCTTAGTGTTGACATTTTCTTTTAATACGCTCGTTCTTATGGGCCTTTGCATTTTTGGGGAACTTTCCATATGTAATCTATCACTTCTATGTTCACCTAAATCTAGTGTAAGTGACGAGCCTTCTTTCTGAGTCGCTTGATTGCCTTCGTCTCCCTGCAGTTTTTCGACTATCCCCTTACATCTATCATTTGTACTAAGAATCGTAGTTTTTGGCGAATCATAGATAGCAAATGGTTCATTTTCAGTATTTATAGAAGTCTTTGAGTCATTTGAACATTTTGTGCTTGTAAGTGAACGTCTATTTCTACGACCTTTATTTAATTTTTCATTAGCTGGCTTTGAATTTTTATCTCCGTTTTTCAACTGAAAATAAGATGGTACATCATCTGCCGATGCTTTAGATATTAACATCTCCTCTGCAATACTCGGCTCGGGATTCAAGTCACTTCTGCAAGACTCCAAGTTTGACAATTTGACAGCGAATGTCTTAACTTCCTTATCTAATTTGGACTTTTCGTCTCGAGTTATTAGTTTTAGATTGTCACATTCAGCTTTCAGATCTCGCAACTCGATTTTTAGTGCATTGTGACTAGCGCGTTCTTCCAATTCCAGAAATTTTCTAGCAAAATTGTCTTCCATAGCTCCGACATCTTTGATATGGTAGTCTGGATAAAAACTGTATTTCGAAATCTTTTCGTTCGGATCCGAATCGGAAGATCTGGAATCCCAACAATCGGCTGTCTCACAAGCGTATCTGATAAATTGCTCGTGTTCTTCGTCCGTTAACTTAGTGATGACATTTTCACTTAATGCGCTAGTAAATGGTTCATTTTTAGGCTGATATAAGTCAACTATCGAATCTTTTTCTTCAATGACCTTACCGCTGTCTCGAACAAATCGCTGACATTGCTCCAGAAGTTTTTCGACTTCTTGTTCTCTTTTTGTTATTTTTTCCGACAAGAGCTTTGGATTTGAATCACCTCGTAGAAAATCACCTACGATGGATTCTAGAGACGGTATGGCTTCTGGATCATCAATCTCTATTTCGTCTTCTTGGTCTAGAAACCCCTTCGTGGTACTTATTGACGGAAGTTCTTGAGCCGGTTGCTCTTTTTGTGTCTCCGATATAAAATCTGTCCTTTGAGTGATGTCTGGTATAGCCACTCTTTTAAAGAGCATTGTTCCTAACAGACTTTTCAACTTGTCCCAGCCGTTTTCGAGTTCTCTTAGCTGCTTGACTTTCATTTTTCCCGCCGTCAATGAGTCGATAAACATGGCTACCGCGGCAATCAAAGTGTCCGTGGCATTGTGCCGAGAGTTTTTTTGCGTATCTGTAATGACAGTTATACTCAGTGATATAAAACTACGAACATAAGCAGGAGTATCGTCAAAATGGAATTTAAATTCGTCTTCGCTTTCTAAAATTACCGCTAGTGACAAATGATGATGATGATATGATTGCAAATCTAATTCACTTTTAAAAGTAACTCTTTTTTTGTAAATTAGTGGCTTCTATGTAGATACCAAATACCTTGGTATTAATTGACAAGAAGTATTGATAAAATCACATTCTAAACAAATACATTGTCAAAACAGAATAGTCGATATATTTCTATTTAAAATTTCAGTAGTGGGTCATTATAGTGAAAAGAAAGAATGTGGGCTGTTTATTCGTTGAAAAAAATGAATTTTTGGATTCATTACGGAAATAACTATATATAGCTAGAACCTCTCAGATTTGTGTTTTGCGATCCTGAAAGTCAATTGAGATGGTTATTTTGACATTATCGAATATAATAATATTTATTTACCGTAAAAATTTAAAATTTCGTAGCTAAGAAAAAAGCATAAGGGATAAATATAAAATAAATATAAAGCAGTGTTTCGGACACCAATCAAAATCGGTAAACACTATGGACATTAAATGTAATTAGGTTGAGACTTATGAATTCGGATTTTTCTATAGTGGCTGTTTTCCAAAATACCTTATCTTTAATTTGCCACTCCGCGCAACTAGGATTCCAGCTCCACTTAGAGTAACCAATTGTACAATATTCACGTATAAATGTTTGTTAATGATATTGAACTTTGCACTGTTGGTAATCCCCACGAAAATAGACCTCTATTTTAGATGCCCTCTTTATAACGAGGTTAATCTTACACTAGACTCTTACACGTAGAACTGGAGTGGATATGTGTAAAGGGTTGATCTCAATTCTAAAATTTAGGTCATTTCTCATTAATTTTTTTTTCTTAATTATATTGCCTTATAAATAAATAAATAAAATAAAATCTGTATTAGAAATGTAACTTCTCTTTCCTACTCTGTCATAATTTGTATATTGTTGAAGTTGTAGTTCAGGCTATAAAATACGAAGACTGTGAGATTTGTTTTTTCACAATTTTTTTGTTTGGTTAATTAAAAACTGCGAGTTTGTTCCGGAACTTGATTAAAAAAAAGTGGTTTACAATAATTCTTTGAGTATATAAAGTGATAAGGTCTATTCTAATCCAAGATTACTCATTACCCATCTGGTGTGGCGCGATTATGACCGATTATGACAGTTTGTTAATAAGGAATTTTGTGGTTTTGTGCTTTTCAGAAAAATGATAATTTTAAACGATAGTTCTACCCTACAAGTTTCGGATACACTTTCAAAAATACATTTTTTGTCCTCAATGTATCAATTATATCAATAGTTCTCCGTTCCAGATTTCTTACCTTGGCAAAACAACTTATTCATTTTGACCTGTATATCCCAATTGAAGATGCAGTATTTTGCATCTACAACCCCAGTATATTGGCAAGGGATATTGTAGAAGTCAAGTGTGTGCTGCACGTCTGACCACGTAGCGCTGCAGATTTCGTCTTCGAGGATGAAGCGCACTTCCTTGCATATGTAGAATATATTCTGGAACGTTTCGACCAGTCTGTTCGCGTCGTACAAGTGAATTATGTTTTCGAAAGGAGGGCAATTGTATATGATGGGATCGGTTCGATTTTCCAAATTTGGTACCTGCAATTATTATAAATTCAGTACTTTAGGCTTTAGTTTATGAACCATAAACCATGAACTTTTGTGGCAGAATATGAACCTGCCAGTCAATTGGATACATTTCGTCTTAAAAATTTCTTGAACTTGTACCGATATTTCGAAAGGACATACAGGGTGTCTACATTTATCTGTGTAACAAATTAATAAACCTTTCAATTTTAAAATTAATAGACCAAATGCGATGTTTTTTTATGTACCATATTGCTACATTTTAACCATTAGCATTGAAAACCGCAATAAGCAAACTGTAAAAAAGCAGTATACAGGGCGTCACTGTCTGTCGAGTGTGTCACCACCAAATATTGTATTATTTGATATATTTTTCTAATAGCATATGTCCTCTAAAATGTTATAAATTTAATTAGGCTGACACGCTTCCAAAGTGAATCTGAATCACTCACTGAATTTGAAATTTCCGTGACTAAGTTTGAAGTCTTGTAAAAAAGTATATTGTAAAATTTTTGACGATTTTTTTATAAAACAATATGTATGCGCTTCTTTTGAATATTTTTTAAGATTTATTTATTTATTTTATTGCAATCAACTGACTTCACAGCCCAATAACAGATTACAAACACAAATCTTATTTATATTAACCTCACTAAGTTCCTTTTATAAACCAATGAAACACCAGCGCGTAAGTATGAGTATGTACATAGAAGTGAAATTTACAGATCACACTAAATACATTACTTTAGGTTTTAAATGCTAATTTTTTAAAGTGGTTTCTGAATGAATTGATGGAAGTACAATTAAAAATGTCAATTTCGTTCGCTAAACTACACATTCGGAATATAAGTAATATTCGTAATACCGGTAATTAAAGTTATCAAACAACGAAAACAATGGGCAGTAGAATTTGCCTCAAAAATTTCCCGGAGGCTCTGGGCTAGGAGTCCCAAGAAGCAGTTTTTCATACCCTTTTAAAAAAATTAATGGATAATTTTACGAATTTTTAAACAGTTAAAAGTAGGCAGCCCCGTTTAAATTTTATTTGTTAAATACTTGCTTCAACAAGACATTGCAATATTTGATAAAATGCCCCGGTTGGAGGGGTAACTGTGGCAACAACGCGTAGGTCCAACTGCCCCAAGTCGCTAATAAAAGCTCTAACGCATTGCGATATGATATAACTTTCGTCTAATGTTTCGTGTCTCAAAACCGCACCGATCGGTTGGAAAATGTTTTGGCGGAGGAGCCTAAAACATGATGGTCATTATTGTTGGTTTCATTCATTCATAAAATTTTGTATTTTACCTTATACAAAAAAATATCACGTGCGAAGGCGCGTCTGGATCATCCGGGTGAGTGGGATTGAGATCTCTGATGTTGAATTCTTTCATAGTAAGAAAAATGATTCGGTCTTCAGGGCGTCTGTCGGTCATGAAGCTGGAGATGGTTGAACACGTAGTGGGGTGCATTAATAGTGGTGTAAAAGATCTGGTGAATTAAAAGTCCGTAAGAATTAATTCTTTACGCTTTTAAGTAGTTAAATATAAAGATCAAATCCTTAAAAAAATGATCTATCATGTCTTGATGTGTTCTGTGTTTGTTTTATTCAAGTGTGCGTTTTGCGTCAACAGAAACTAGGAAATTTAATTGAACTGAGTTAATAGAACCACAATAAACTATGGTAAACAAAAATATAGTGCAACCTATAATAACCATAAGTTTCCATTCCGAAAATTTTATTTTTAAAGCAAAGTAAAACTTAAAACTGCTAGAACCTTGCGTCGGATCCATCAGATATTTTGCTTGCATCGAGAACAGCATCTTCTTTGTCAACTGAAAGTGATTGCGAATTTGGTTTGGGGGAACTTTCTGTAGGTACTGCAGGACAATTTTTGGATTTACTAGATAATTTTCCTACAATCACAATTCGCCGTTATCAGCTACAACAAGGATGTTTTCGGTTACCCACCTTTTTTGTTTTTAGAATTTTTTCTTCCCATGTTTTTGTTCAATAAACACACAGACACACAAATATCAAAACAAGCACAACACGCAACAAATAACGACGCACAATATCTGAATGAAGATACGTTTGTTATCAAATAAAAAAGCATGCAGTTTGAAATTTCGAATAAATAAAAAAAACGAGCTACAAAAAAGTTCACACTTTAGTGTCGATTTGGGATAAATTCGTTGTATTTTATTAACGGAATTAAAATAGGAAAATTCATTCAACAATAAGTAATATTTGTACAGATGAATAAAAAAGCTTTGGATGGAAAATGTATTTATTGTTACATCTCGGAATAATAACTTAAAAGTTAAGAAAATTGTACTGCCTTTTCAGTAAATTTAATACTTAAAGTTTAAATTTTAATTAATGTAAAATAGAGATTCTCAACTATTACTATTCAAACCAAGAAAATTATTTAACTTGTTCATTTAATTATATATATTTTCTAACAACTGTTATTCGACTGTATCGCTTGACTTGGGTTGGAATCTGCGTGAAAACTTTGGTGGCAAACTAACCAAAACTTCGGTTTGTGTTGTTTTTACATTTTAAGCAGTAATTAAACAGCATTAACATATCTAAATCAAATGTCATTCCCAATCGATCTTAATTGATAAAGGTTGTTACTTGTTGTTGTTAGGGTGTTCGTAATTTAGACAATACTATGCTTAGTCCAGCAAAAAAAAATCCATTGATATATTCAACACTTTAGAGCTTTAAACTTCAGTAATCAATATTTTAATATTATTCCAAGAATTATCCCTTCTAGCTGAACCCTAATTTTACGGACAACATTATGGAGTAAGCTTCCTTTGAATTTAATTTTTGAATTTTGTTCGCTTATACTTTGGTTAGTTTGGGGACATATTAAAAAATTTCCAGCAAAATACATTCTAATTATTCGGTATAATGTAAAATGTCAAATCAATGCCCATTGCCAAAAGTTTTCTTTTTTTTATGCTTCTTATTAATTAAAACATCAAATAATTTAACAAACTTTAATAAAAATGAAAAAAATATAAAAAAATGATTCAAATACAAGTAAGAAATACAGGGGGTGCTCACTATTTTATGATTCAAATAAACATTCAAATTGTTAGAACAGAATAAGTTATTTCAGATTCTCACTGTATTTTTAAGGTTTTATCAGAAGAAAAATGGACAAAATCAGAAATGTGAAGTCAAATTATATTTAAAATACGTTACAATTAAATAAGATATACAAAATGTCATAATTTTATCACAATATCGCCCTTTTGCGAATCCTCTTCGTCATAAAATCCTTCATTTACCGTTCCACCATTTCGTGTCTCGCGATTTGTCTCGGCCACTTTTCTTGTCAGACTGAATCCGCCCCCAAAATGTTCGGCGATTTCGTGCAAGCTTTTCCTCTCCGTTTCAGGAAGCAAAAAGTATAACAATACAAATCCTATAAAACTAACTGCGCTGTAGAAGCAAAAGGTACCCGGCAGCGTGAAATGGTTCACCATCCAGAAGAATATTTTGTTCGAAATAAAGGCCAGCATGTAACTGGCAGCTCCCGAGAACCCGGAAGCTGTAGCTCGGATGTCGTTGTAATAGACTTCGCCTACAAGAACAACCAGAATTAAAAAAAACTGTGAACAATTTCGTACTCGTATTGAAGAAGATGTTACATTTCACAAAAAATTAAAACAAGTAAAGCAGTGGGTGGTATACCAAGAGAGCACTTACATGACGATTACGTTAGGACTAGGACTAAAAAAATAAAAATAATTTTGATTTAACAATTGGGGACTGTGGAAAAAATCTTCAAAACTAATTGCTTTGCATAAATTAACATAACAAAAGATGCTTTGGTAGCAAATATCTAGAAATATTTTCGAAATTTTGGGAAGAAAAAACAAAATTTTGTTGAATTTTTCCATTTTATCCATATTTATCCATATAAAAGCTTTGAAAATCAATAATCAAGTTCAGAAGATTTGTTATTAGCTTATGGCATAACTTTATAATTATATTCATGAAGGATATTTCCTATCTCTTTCTGTAGACTGTACCTACAGAGTATATCTCATATCCTCGTGGTAGTAAAACAAAGAAACAAAGAACCCGAACCGAAAACAACAAACCTATAAGCATCCAAGGCAATATTCTTATTCCAGTATGGCTGAAAAATGCTGAACCGACGAGGAAGGTCAGTGGCATCCAACTGTTAGTCTCCAACGATTCTGGATCCGTGATCTTCGCACTTTGCAAATATCTGACATCAATCGAAAACGCGTACGTCCCTACTACCCCAAAACAGACTCCGCACCCGATCAATGAGAAAAAGTTCATTTTCCTCTTGCCCATAAAATGCACCAGCGTAGAGCTGAAGATGCAGCCGAGCGCTTCTGATACTCCCAAAATTATCGTGGCGTAGTATTTGTCGATAGGAGCTTTGAGGGTCGCGAATATAGTCACGGCGTAGGTTTGGAGGGTAGTCATACCGCAAAAGTGACCCAGGAAGAATGACAAAGTGACAAGAGCAAATGGCCAAAGGAAGCTGCTTTTGGTGTATAATCTTGCGTTTTCGATCAGCTTTATTATCTTCTTCCCCTGGGTTGATTTCTTCGAAGTTTTTCTCAGATGTTCGCACAACTCGTCGAATTCCTGCTTCGCGTCTTCGACAGGAAGGAAACCCCTGAGCCAGGCGATACTTTTCTGTGCACTTTCAAGTTTGTTCTTGGATACTAGCCAGTGCGGACTTTCCGGTACCAAGAAGAGGGTTGCGATAGAGAGTATTGGCACGACGCAGCTTACTAATGCGACGGTCCTCCAATGAAAAAACGTACCGAAGAGGAACTCGGTGAGGATACCGCCGATGACTGCGACAGTAGACGTGGATGCCAGTACTCCTCGCAGGTTAGGCGTGGTTACTTCAGCTAGATACGTGAGAGTCTGTGAAATAATACGAATAATTAATAGATTGCTTACACATCTTTCAAGTTAATTATCAATTTAATCAGATAATTGAAAAAGTTTCATAAGTCAGTCATGTCTTATGTTTCGGTTTCGATTTGGCAGCCAAGAATATGACGTTAAGAAGTTAATGTTTCTAAATTGAATAACGCATAGGTTGGATATGTACTTTAGACCATTTAACTCAAAAAATTGAATCGACGTTTCAAATTAGTAAACATAATAAAAATAGTAACTAATACAGGGTGACTTACAATAGTTTGGTTCTGTCATAAACTTTCTATCCGTCTAAAATATTTATTGCGGTCTCATGAGTATTGTTTAATCTTCAATGCTTTCCGACAATTTTTTTTTATATTTTTGGTTCAAATGAGTTGTAATAAAATTTTTATTTGTAGTTTACGATATTTTCACGTCATAGGTCTATTATAACTTTTTTATTTTGGAACACAATTACAAAGTTTTTTATGTTAGGCTTCTATACCTCGAAAGTTGGCACTTATAAATAAAATCGGCTTCTTTTGGCATAGTAGTAGTATAAGTAGCCGTGAAATTTGCCAATAGCGCCAATATGATATGACAACTCGATGGGGAAGCGAGCAGGTATGATACGTCAGTAGATGTATAGTGCCGATATAAGCAACAGAAACCGTACATAACCTCAATTTCCTAACCCCCCCGCAGCGGGGGCCCCCCGCGCGTGGCGTCCTAGTGTCCCCCCTGTCTACCAGAGTGCGCTCCGCCCCCCACCCAGCTTGTGTAGCGTCCTGTTTTGCCCCGGTTCCGCCCGTCGCTGCTAGATGTCGCGCGCTTGTGTCGCCAGCTTGTGTAGCGTCCTGTTTTGCCCCGGTTCCGCCCGTCGCTGCTAGATGTCGCGCGCTCCGACCGTCGTAGGCCCCCCCCGGTAGAGGGCGGTGACGGTGCGGCGCGGTGACGCGGTGGATCGGGAGGATAATTAAATAAACTTGAATTTTAATACATTTTATTTTATTTTATTTATAAAATTGGTCTGGCGAGGAGTTTCTTCTTCTTTTTATGTCGATTCAGTCGACCATCCCATTGTTCCTGTTCCTTGCGTTGTTCTTCTTCCCGTTCCCGGAGGAAATCTAAATACGAAGTGCACTCCTCGCCGTCCCACTCCGTCGACCACCCACCCGGGTACTCCTGCTGCTCCTTTGTTTCTTTTGATCCACCGGGTTGCTCCTGCTGCTGGTGATGTTCCCTTGTCGTTTCATGTCGTACCGGGAATTCTAACCCCCGGTACTCTTTGTGTGATTTGAATATGTGACGCCCTAAGCGATGCGCCAACATAATATGCGACTTGTCATACGGACAAACCGCGATTTTTTCTAGAACAAAACAAAGTATGATATGTAGCGTTTCCTATAAAACACACATTTTTTTTTTTAAACAAAACTTCCAAAAAGGGGGGTTATCAAATAATTTTAAAAATTGTTTTTTAAGTTATACGCGCATACTAAAATTCACGTTTCAATTCACTGTCATTTAAATGTAAGTGTATTATTGTCAAAAGGGCAAACTGCAATTTTTTAGTACAAAAAATAAACAAAAATATGTATATATTTCGCGTTTTCCCCATAAAACGCACATTTTTGAAACAAAACTTTCAGTAATTTTAAAAATTGTTTATTTTTTAAAAGCCAAAATTCCCTATTCACTGTCATTTAAAAGATATTAAAAACGCTCAATTTAATTCGATTATTATTGTCAAAAAGGCAAACTGCAATTTTTTAGTACAAAAAATAAAACATTTTTGAAACAAATTTAAAAATTGTTTATTTTTTAAAAGCCAAAATTCCCTTTTCCATTCACTGTCATTTAAAAGATATTAAAAACACTCAATTTAAATCGGTTATTATGCAACGTAAAAAAGATGAGTATCATATTTTAAAAACAGGTAGAAACTAACCAAAAAAGTGATAACCCAAACTGAAACCCACAAGAGAAGACGCGCACTGTATAAAGGTAATTAAAATATAAAACTTACCAGTTGTAGGGTCGTAGGGAAATGGACATCGCACTTCTGTATTCATTGCACTGAATATAGTCTATAATACACATGCAACGTATTTATACACATGCACTCCCTTCCATGGTTGAATTAAAAGTCGAAAGGTCTTCTATTCACAAGCACCAACGCCGATTTGAATAGACGCGATGTTGTCGCCAGACAACCGTGCAGGTAGAAGTCTCAAGGTCAACACGCTTTCACACGGGAACGCAACCGTTTCGGACGTTGGACGAACGTATGTTGCCGCAAAAGATCAAGGCCAACTTGCTTTCATTTTTTACAATCTCCGTATGGGATGTGGAATTTCAAAACGCGCCGAGTCTAAATGTCGAGTTGTTTTGCTTGTTGAGAATAATAATTAATTGCCCCCTTTATATTTGCTCCGTGGGATTAACGTAATGGGAAAAATTTGTTGCAACGCATGTGGAGGTGTCTTCGTTTGTTAACTTTTAGAAAGTATTCTCGCACCGTATAAATACATCTCATTTTTCTCTGTTTTGTCAGTAGTTGTTTTTGGTATTATTCGTGCAACGTGGAAGCTAACTTAGTGGTTTGGTGTTCGTACAAAAAAGCAGTAAGTACCTTTTTTATTGTTTTATTTTAATTCTTTAACATTTGTTATTATTTTATAAAGGTCCTAAAGATCATCTTAGTACTCTCAACCCGTAACCGCAAATAGAATAGCAGCAATCTTAAGCGTAAGTTTTTTTTATTTTTTTTATTTTGAGATAAAAAAATTAATAATAATTTATAGATGGACTTAAGTCAACTGAATCAAACCTGTCTTGCAGAAGGTGATTTTGAGCAGCCGATTGTCAAACTGCATGAATTGCCGATAGGCGTTCCGTTTAAAATTACTAGAGCCAAAATTGTTAATACAAAATTTGGCAATTCCGTGTTGCTGCAATTAGAAAATTCCGTAGTATTTCTTCCTACTCGCGTGACAGAAGCTTTCCGTCCGAGACTAGAACACTTTGCGTCGGGGCAGTACAAACTGGTCTACGAGGGATCCAAAGATATTGGAAAGCCCAACTCTTTAAAGAAATTCAAAATAATTCAAAATTAATCAACATATTATACAGGGTAAGTCTTATTTACTGTTATATATTTAATAAACCACGATGCGCGTAAAGCAGATCATTCATAGAGCGCAAATCTTAATTTTAACCTTACAAAAATTAAAAAAGCATATTTCCGACAAGTTCACTCTTAGAGATAGTGATGTGTGGCTTAGGAGACTAAGTAAAAATATTGAATCTTGCAACCAAATCGTTTCTAACGAAAAGGATTTATCTATTGGGTTAAAAAGAAAATTACAAACTACAATTCAACATCTGAAAGCTATTAGAAAAATTATTCTTAATTATCAACATAAGCATTTTGGATTGGGATTACAAAGTAGTAGCCGCGAGACAAACACAAATGAAATGGTTGTATGGGAATCGGTAGCGTCGTGTTTCCAGGGAAGAGTTCAGACTGGTGTCATAATTAATTTACTTCATAAAGATTTAATTCAATTTTTAAACGATTGTCGTCCAATATTTCAACAAAAAATTAGTCAAATTTTAAAGAAATTTTTATTGCTGAAAGTAAATACCACATTTTGCGGTGAATTTATTAAGGCAAAAAATGATGTCCAAGGCGAAGTTGATGTTAAATATCTGAGTACCGGAAATGCTGTAGTTGATTTAGGAACAGAATTGAATGATTGGTTTGTTGAAAATGTCCAAGATAAAATTTTAAATCAAATGTCAGAGTTTCAGGAACGTGATTCCGGGTGGGCTTTAAATAATATTATTTATTTAGAGATTAACATTAATAAATTTGAAATGGGTAACGGATCATCCTTCGTTGTGCGACATTGACCAAATTATGATTATCGAGCGGGCTATACGAGGTGGAATTTCGGTGTGTGTTGGTAGATATGCGGAGGCCAACAATAAATATATGTCCCACTACGATTCATCCAGGGATGATTCCTATATCATGTACTTTGACGTCAATAACCTCTATGGCAAGGCCATGTGCGAGCCTCTTCCTTACGGAGGATTCGACTGGATGTCTCATCAAGAGATTGATTCATTTACTGTCATGAACATTCCAGATGAATCTTCCCAAGGATATATCCTAGAGGTAGACCTGGAATACCCGCAGAAATTACATGACACACATAGAGATTTTCCATTTTGTGCCGAACATCGAGTGCCCCCCAATTCAAAGTTACCAAAACTAATGACTACTTTGTATAATAAAGAAAAATACGTCATACACTATCGCAATTTAAAACAGGCTCTCAAAAACGGTCTCGTACTAAAGAAAATTCACAAAATATTAAAATTTAACCAATCTCGTTGGTTGAAATGTTATATCGATCATAATAATAAATTAAGAACCCAAGCAAAGACAAAATTTGGTATAAATTTATACAAATTGTTTAATAATGCCGCTTACGGTAAAACAATGGAAAACATTCGCAAGCATCGTATTGTTAAATTTGTTAAAGCGTGGGATGGTCGCTACGGTGCGAAAAATTTAATTTCTAGTCCTAGATTTCACAGTAGAACCATACTTGATAACAATTTGTTGCTTATAGAATTAAAAAAATCGGAACTTTGCTTTAATAAGCCACTTTATATTGGAATGTCCATATTGGATTTGTCGAAAACGACCATGTACGAGTTTCATTATAATTACATGCTTCCAAATTTGGGTCCCGAAAAATGTAAAATTCAATACATGGATACGGACAGTTTCATTTATAATATCAAATGTTATGACGCATATGAAAGCGTTATTAAGGCCGATTTAACAAAATTTGACACGTCTGATTATCCTAATGACAATCCCTATAATATACCGCAAATCAACAAAAAGGTTTTGGGGTTGATGAAGGATGAGACTAATGGCACCATCATTAGTCATTATGCGGGGTTAAGGTCGAAAATGTATACTTTCAAAATTTTAACGGGTTCGGTAGTTAAAAAGTCAAAGGGTATTCAGTACAATATTGTAAAAAATAAAATTTCATTTGATGACTACGTAGAATGCTTAACAAATTTTAGGGAAAAGTACGCCACTCAACGAACCATTCGTTCATACACTCACAATGTATTTAGCATCGAACAAACAAAAGTTGCCTTGAGTCCTTTAGACGATAAACGTTATCTTTTGCCGAATTCATATGAAACGCTTCCGTGGGGACATTATAAAGTGCCGTAATTATTTTTTAATATATTTTTGTTACAGATTATGGTCAAACAACTTACATTAGAAAGCCTTTGTATTATAACAATTTGCGAAAATATTAGGTGTAGTGCTGATTTTTTGCTTGAGTCACCTTTGCCTTGGAAACTAACGATACTAATATTTAAATATTATTCGAAATATAGATGGAAGTACCTTAAACAATTAGCGCTCCAGTCTGATGGCAATTCTTTATTAAATTTAGAATTCATTCTGTTGAATAAGAGATTTGGATCGTCTTACAGAAATAGCATTTTGGCAACTCCAACCATTGATTTTGACGGAGAATCCGCTTACTGTTTATGGGTCAGTTATTACAGGATAAAATATTCGGAAATTTTAGTTTGTAAATCTTGTCACTTTATATTTCAAGTAGTTAAAAAATTTAAAAAGAAAAATTTTAGACTTTTATTGGATCACTATCATTTACAGCTGGATATAAATAATTTGAATGATGTATATCACGATAAACAATTTTGGTGTCAAAGCTGCTTTGAAGAAGTTTTGTTCACTGTAGAAACTGAAGATGAATGTAATTTAATGCTTCACGATGAGAGGAAATATGGAAAAAAGTTACGCTTTTCTGATAGTCCATTGAACTATTAATACTGTGGTTTTATTATAACATATGTAACTGTAGATAAGACTTTTATGTATTGATTGTATTCCATTGTATTGCAACAAGAATAAACATGTATATATTTAGACGCTATTTTCTTTTTTACCACCACCACAACACCGCATAATAATTACACAGAAGTTTGTAATTGTATAATTTATTTATTATATACATTATTACTATTTTACAATTTCGTTAAATGCTAAATTATTAAATTGTTCTAGTTTTCTTTTGCACTCTTGAGCTTGCATCCGCGCCACTTGCAAGTCTGTATTAAAAAGCGCAATTTGTGTTTCAATTTCGTTGATATTGCACTCTAATCCCGACAACTGAGACGCCAAGTTTCTTTTTAAATTGAATGCCTCACAAATGACACTTTTTTCTCTACCGTCCGTGAACACTTCGAGCCAATCAGCGGATGACGTTGGAGCTGCAAACGCTTCACTTGTGGTAGTTTTCTTCTTCTTCTTGCGGGATACGACCGACGCACTTTGTTTTCGTTTGGTCGCAGATTTTTTGGTTTGTTGCTCTACAGGAACGAAGCTGGACGGGAGCACTTCTGATGAAGGAAATTGCAACTCGAAATTTTCCAATAAATTATACAATTCGTTGGATGTCACAATTTTCTCTTGAGCCATCATATACACGTATTTATGTCAGAACTTCTAAATCGAGACTAAATTTATTTCAAAACGTCTACGTTGTCTACCCACGAATCGTGCGACTTATCCAATCCCAACCAGCGCACGAGAACCATATTGCCTCGTCTGCGCAACACCTTTTCGACGAGATATAAGTCCGGGTTAACTGTCTTCTGCAATTCTTCTTCATAAAATCCGCCCATTATGGGTTTACCCTGCATATCTTGAAGCAAATACGTTACGGGGTTAGTAACCCGTACTTTAACAATTTTAAACAATTCCGTGGTCCAATTCGGTGTATAACCTTTGTTGAAAACGTGCTTGACTTTGCTGATTCTAACGATGTCGCCGACTTTAAGTTTACGAGGACCGAATATTTTTATGCTACTATACGCGGTTTTCAAAATTCTCTTTTCGTTGCTCTTACTCACATCGATGGGTTTCGTACCCGTCGTTCTATGTTTTGTGTTATTGTATTCATCAACGATAGAGGCGAGCACATCGATCCATTTGTACGTCCCGCGTAAAGAAAAATGTCGAAACAATTTCTCTTTGAGGGTACGTATCACCCGTTCGACAATTGAGGCCTTTTTTATGCTATACGTACTATAGTGGTTAATTTTATGCTTATCCACAAGTTTCAGAAACGTGTCGTTGTAAAATTCTTTACCGAGATCCGTTTGCAAGTTTTGAGGGTGCCGTCCGTCCTTGAGAATTTTTCAAAACGCCTTGGCGACTTCGACCCCGGTTTTGGTTTTCAACGGGCGACACCATACATATTTTGAGAAACAGTCTATCACAACCAGCACGAATTTAAAATTTCTGTTTTGTTTGCTGTAGCGATCTAATTGGGCCAGATCCGCTTGCCACAGGTCATCCATCCCTCGTATTATAGTCCGGCGGCGAGCATAATTTCTGCGTGCCGGCTTGTGCAGTTCTCGAACCAGTTGTACCTTCTCTTTATTCATAATGTGTGTTCGGTTGCGATGGAGGATTTAAAACCCTTTGTTTCAATACCTTCATTATATTCTCATTTTCGTTCGTAAGTCGCTCCATTTTGGTTACAATATCATGAAATTGCTGTGACAAAACGGCGACTTTTGTCATGTGCTTTTCCAAATCTTTCTTTGCGCTCATTTCGCTTAGCTTTTGGTGGAAAACTTCGCGAAACTGCATAATTTCATTTTCGAGTGTAGTGCTACTCATTTTCAGTTGTTCTTCAAGACGCGAGAATTTAGTTTTGTCTTCAATTTGTAATCTTTTCGTGTACGCTTCGAGTTTCTGTCCAATAATCTTTCTCAATGCAATTTTTAATAAATTACTTGTCTCATCCACATATTTTTTGTTAGCCACGTCACCGTCGTCGCTAGGCGTTTGGACATTGCAAATTTTTAAATTGTTCATATTGACGTTTCCGTCTGGCATATAGTCGAGGGCGCTTCTAATCACAGTATTAGTGAAGGGTCGTTTAGAGCGCAGCGCGCTAGAACGTCCAAACTTGTCCAGACTCATCGTTAAACTAACGTATAAAACCTGATTCTTTTAGCTCTTCAACGATTGAAACTATTTCGTTATCATGAGACGTGTTGCCTGCGTGTTTCGACGCGATTAGTAATTTCAGACGCTCTACGAGTTCATTGACGTCGTCCCAGTATACATATTCAGTAGGAGCGTCATTATAACGCATATTATAACCTTGACCGCTGTACGAGTACGAACGCGACTGAGATTTTATTAAGGGTCGGATGACCTTGGTATATTTTGGTACAGTCGATGCGCCTTTCAAACGTCCGATCGCGTCCCTGTGCACCTGGGTAGCCTCCATTATTTTTTTATATTGTGCCAAATCGTCTTTTGTGTATGCTATGGGATCTTTCAAAAACACCAAATTATACAAGCCGCGGGTACCGGAATATCTCTCGCCGTCTACAATAATATCGCCAGATCCTTGATGAAAATCCAGCGATTTATTGCCGAGAAACCATTTGGATGATATTTTGTCGTAAACGGGTCCGTAAACAATATCGGTGTCGGGCGATTTTACCCATAAATTTTGAATATATGAATGGGAAATTTCTGGATATTGTTCCAGGTATGATTGAAGGGATGCGTTGGCCACGCTCGATGTGTCAAACACATCATCTTCCTCCTCATCGATATTTTGCATCTCAACGCTCTTATTGGGATCCGGCGTTTCCTGAATTTCTTCCATAGGCAAAAATGATACGTTAACCTTATTTTTTGTTTCTTCGTTCGGTTCCTTTTTGTGTTCCCGCTTGACACCTCGACGTTCAGTTTTTATTTCTGCCGGTGACGGTGATAGCTTTATTTTTGCTATACGTTCTAGCGGCTCGCTGACGGGTTTGAAAAGCTTCCGAATTGACGCATCCTCTTCGCTCTTACCCAATTTTAATGTTAAATACTTCTTTCGAATAGATCTAGACAACTCGTTTACTTTTTTTTTTAGCGCCGCGTCGGCGATGTCGGCGGACGTCGCCTTCATGACTGTTTCTATCGACAATTAAATATCGACTTTTATATATTTATCGAAACCCTTGCGGTAGCGTCCGTTTTTTACGTCGAAATCTTTGACAATTATCAAACAGCCGTACTTTTCTTTCCAGCACTCGGAACAAATTTGTTTAAACGTGTCGTATGAAACGTCGGGTGAGACATGTTCATCATAAACGTGACGTAAATTCATGTCATCCTGTTTAAACAACGCGACAATATTGCAATTGTCACGTATCAATTGCTTGGGTACCTTGGAGTATGTCTGACAGAGATAAATAGCGTCGATGGCCTTGTGTCGGCACATCGAAAAATACTCGCGAATTTTATCTTGCTTGTCGCACGCCACGTCGTCGAAAATAAACAGAGAATTCTCTTTCGCGTCGCTGGGGTCGATTATCGAGTCTCTTTCACTGTAGGGATAATATCCAACTCCTTTGACATTGCTCAATACGCGAGATAACAGTTGATATTTTGGTTGATACAACGACTTTGAGTAGACGTAAACATTTTCGAAACTTGCCCCGTTGGGGTTAAAGAGTAGCGCTAACATGGTGTTGGTTTTGCCGCAACCGCTAGGTCCGCAAAACACCGCCCTAAATGAATTGGGTAGCAGTTGACCGTGTTTGCTTTTGTTAAAGAAACCATCTCCGCAAACCAAATCTAAATTATCGATGGGGAGCTTGAGTTTCTGCTGCACCACCCGCATGACTACAATGTTTATTCGAGACACCTCGTATATATATACGACACAAGCAATTTCCTTTAATTAGTATGTTATGCTTCGCGTCCGGAAGTGGTCTCGTTAACACGCTTATTAACAAGTTACCTTTTGAAGTACACATTCCGGGTTACCAGTTTTGCGGTCCCGGTACAAAATTGGAAAAACGCTTGAACCGAGGCGATAGCGGGGTGAATCCTTTGGACGCTGCGTGTAAGGTACACGACATTGCCTATTGGCAAAACAAATCGTTAGACGAACGTCATAAAGCGGATAAAGAATTGGAAACGCGTGCGTGGCAGCGAGTAAAATCTAAAGACGCAAAGTTTGGTGAAAAAGCTGCCGCATTCTTTGTCACCGCGACTATGAAAACTAAACGTAAGCTCGGTATGGGTCAACAACGGCGTCCCTCTGTTTCGTTTCGACAGGGTGTCGTGAAAAAGGTTCGCAATGCATTAAAGAAGAAACAATTGTTTCATATCGATAACCCTAAAAT